ACGGTTAGATTAATATCACTAACGCTAATTGCTAATAGGACTCTCTGTAACTGTGTAGCTGGAGCCAGCAGCTTAGCGCAGCACAAAGACTGGACCTTCCCAAAGTCTCCGTTGGATGCTTGGCAGTAGCTCCTGGCCAAGATTTTAACAGATTAAACAACAAGATGTAACCTGTTCAACATCAGTGAGCTTCACATGTGCTGGTGGGTGGATCTGGTTAGACCTACTGTCTTTACATTTTCAGTCTTTGTGCTGAGATAAACCAACCAGCTGCTAGTTACAGTCACATACGCGAGAGCTCAGCTGCTTCCTGCATGAAAACAAATTCACCAAAAGTTGGATTTTAAGGCAATATTTTCAAAAAAAATGGAAATGTTTTCTGTACAATTACTTTTAAACTGTGCAAAACATCATCTGCTGAAGCTCCAAAACAGCTTCTAAATGGACTTCACTCTTTAATCAGCTTGAAATTCCACTGAGATAGATGTGCCAATCATTTAGTTGATATAAATGGTGCTAGTTTTGTAAGTTATGAAACATGTGGGCGTGTGAGCATCCCGGCACGCATCCTGCAGAATTAAATCTGGAATGAAGACAGTTTTCTTCAACCCGTCCCGCGAGCTGCAGAATGTGTCCGTACGTGTCTTACTGTGCAGGTAACAGTTGTTTTTATCTAAACAAAAAGGGCTCGTGGCACACCGTAATCTCAGGAACAATCCTACCATTAAACCAAAAACTCAGATGCATTGTTGTAGGAGAACTCATCCGGAGCTACGCCTCAATACCGCGGCCAATACAGCCGACGCACACACACCTGTGATTGTATTTCTAGTTTTTCTCCTTTTGCTATAATTGTCTCGTGTTCTAAAAGCAAAATTCCTCACGGCTATCACAAGAAAAAACATGGAGTGTGTTGGCACAGTTGGCAATACTTTGACGACATCGAGGCAACAAATCCTGTTCAGGACACAATGTAGTAATTGTTTGGCACATGAATTAAAGCAATGGAAGACGCAGCGTGTTTGGGAGGTAATCTTTTCTTCGCTTTCTTTAGACCGCAAAGTTTAGCGAAAAAAAACAAACGTACAAACAAAAAGACCCACTCAGCTGTGCGATTGTCTGCCTACAATAGGTATGCTGGAGTCGTATTTACAGGAAAATTGATTCTTTCAGCAGTGCTGGTGGTCATTACAGTGTGCAAGCACGCCGCAGGTTATCTGACTTCAACAAACAAATCCAGGAAAAGCACATTCATGAGAAGTCTAATCTTTTAAATCTACTTACGGCCCATTCTGCGAGGGTCCGAAACGAGACATACATGTGCAGAAAAAAAAGCAGGGGGCAGAAATACTTGATAGGGTACAACAGGGTGTTGCGTAACAGCTGTGTTTTTCCAAAGGGTGGCATGTTAAGGCCGAGCGTATTATTTATGTACAGGCTCCATATGAATGGCATGCTTAAAAAAAAATACCTTCCTCAAGGCTGGTCGACGCCTGCAATCAGAGAAGGTTGCCACCGCGTTTCTGCCTTCATGTAAATGGCAGAAAGTGGCAACAAAGAAAACAAGAAGTGTGTTTTCAGAGTGAACAGGGTCAATCTAGCGCGGTGACGTCAGGCGGCGGAGCTCAAGGTCTCGCTTCCTCAGAGTTCAGCGTGTTCTGTCACTGTCGAGGGCCGGAAACAGCCTGACGTAGTGGACTGACTGGAGTTTTTTTACAGATTTGTACTTGTTTGGCTTTATTGGAGCGATTCATTTTTATTTTATTTTTTTAATCCTGATGCTCAGATAACCAGCTTCTATTTCACAAATGATGCAACCGACAGCTACAGTAGCTCAGAACAAAGACAACAGATCCAAACACAAGTCTGCCCCTGTCCACCGCTGACTAACACCACCCACCTGAGTGCGCTGATGCTGGTGGCAGATCTGGTTTGTTTGTTAAGGCAAGTCCAGAACAAGGAAGACAATAACTTCAGTCAGTCAGGAATTTATTAAACCAAGTTTGTCTTTTTTTTTTGTAGTTTTTCAGGACCAGAGTCACCACGGAGTCTGAGACGCCCGAGAATGTCATGAAATTGCAGCTTTTCAGCGATTTGAATGCAGAATTAAGCAGAAAGCTCTAAACGTGTGAGTTATCCTCGTGTTGTTGCCTTTTAATCCAACTCAGTGAAGTAACTGCCAATTCCAAAAGACTCTGAACAGAGTATTATGACCTGCAGGGCCAAAGTCACATGACCAGTGTGGCATCTGAGGTGCTTGGTTGTTAGTTGCTGTGGCTTTAAAGTTTGTCATATTGTCACAAATTTAGGAAGTGCTACCATTATTTATATTTTAAAATAAACCTCGACTACATATTGTATTTGTTCGATTCATGAACAGTTAAGCCTCTGAACATTTTGACGTCACTGATGTGGTTCATATAAAGTACAAATCCAGGTGTTTTACGTCTTTCATTTGATTATACAGTTTGCATTGTCCACTTGTTTTGGTTGTTTCTAACTCGTCCCTGATCTTCGGACTCAAACACTAAATATCTCCATGAGTCTCTGATGTTTACTATCTGCTAAGTGGCTGTGTGAGCTGTTATCACAACGGTATTCAACAGACAGCACTCGCTGACAAAGTTGTTGAATAAGAGGTTTTTTTTTGTTGGACTGGGACTTTTGAACAGTTCTAATTGTATCTGCCTTGTCTGTAGTCATCACAAACAGAGCTGATGGAGGTTTTGATGGTGGTAACTGACCCAAACATTTAAGAATTTGAAGAAAACTTTGGCATAAAATTGTAATGCAGAAATGAAAAAGTAGGGCTGCAAGGTGGGTCAGTGGTTAGCACCGTCGCCTCGCAGCAAGAAGGTCACCGGTTCGCGTCCCCGGTGAGGACACCCGGGATCTTTCTCCTGTTCTCCCCGTGCAGTGTGGGTTCTCTCCAGGTTCTCCGGTGATTCTAAATTGTCTGTAGGTGTGAATGTGAGTGTGCTTGGTTGTCTGTCTCTAAGTGTAGCCCTGTGATAGACTGGTGACCTGTCCAGGGGATCCCCTGCCTTCACCCTGAGTCAGCTGGGATAGACTCCAGATCCCCTGCAACCCTAGTGAGGATTAAGCGGTGTATAGGATGGTTGTATTATGTTCTTTACTGTTTACATACTTTCACAACACAAGTAGGAAGCTAGTAAGGATACCAAAGTAGTTGTTCCCTTCAGCTGTCTGTCCACAGTACATGGCGTTTGCATTTAAGCCACACAAAGTTATGTTAAGTCAAAGTTGGTGCAAGATTTCTTTCTCAGTTGCCGCCTGAGGGTCAGTTGAGCACCACAGAGCTACTTGTCGTTGGAGGCTGAATTGCAAATGATTTTGGACTGTTTAGCTCTAAAGTTTCAGACCTGGTCCCGTCCTGAGGAGGTCATGGGGGTCAAATCCACAAACTCTGCCACATGTGCAGACTAAATGCTTCTTGATGTGTTTTTTTTTAGTGGAAACATTTGCTTCATGTCATGTTATGGCATCCCATCAAATTATAAAACAATAGCTAGACACCATTGTGAACAGGTTATGTGCATATTATCATCAATATGAAGAAATCATTTCAAAAGACATACAAACGTTTTTATGTGAAATTTCAGCTTCTCTTTTTTGTCATTGTCTTTAAAATATCAAGTCTAAATGTTTACATAAAGTAATATCTGATTCCTGGAATTGTTATAAAGAGGCCCAGTCGGTCTGTATCACACATACAGTAAATAATCACATATTCTGTTTTGCAGTTTTAAGTCTCCATCGTTACCCCGGTGTCGTCTCAGCAGGACATCTTGTTTAAATGCTCTTTGATGGAAATTATGGGCACAAATTATATTCCAATTGCATTACTAATGTTTACTTTGATTGAAAAAAAAAAAAAAGCATTAGAGGACTGAATTTAAACATCCTGACCAAATGTGTTCATAAGTTTAGCAGAGAAACAATCCCTTATATAAAAAACAATAAATTATTAACAAGTCATGCTTGTGTTTTTTCCAAACAAGATGATTGTTTGGCACTTTGTCAGCAGGATACCTGACAGGTTTATGAATAATTTACCTGAAATGTGGTGAAATAATCAACATTCGACCTGGGGATAATTGGATTGTGACCACCCGTCTGACAATTTGGTGTTTTTGTTTTTTTTTATCTATAATTATGGAACAAGTCTTAATCCCAGTACGAGGTGATTGTCGGGAAATCAATTGAGCTTAACCTTTGACTAAATTATTTATTTTGGTGGTAAGACAAATGAGAGTGTAATCATGTTTTAATGTCACATTTCTACTGTATTATTTTATTTTATTTTTAAGTCTTCTGCCCCATGAGGCACTTGGACGATTATTTTTTAATACTGTTCCAACAAAAAACTGCTGCGTCATGGATAAATTATTTGTAGCACAACTGCTAATACCAGTAAGTATCTAGCCCTAAATATTAAAATAATTAAACCCCATCATTTGCCCTTTATGGCTAACTTTGTCCTACAAGATCTGCAGTGAGCTCAGGCTGACCTCTGTGTTTACAAGACACTGTTTGTCCAAGGCCTTTCCTGAACAGCTGATGAGGGCTGAAGTGAAATGAAGGGGAGGGACTGAACCCCGCAGGAAGCTTGAGGGCAGAGCTTCATTTCAATAAAGTCCCTGGTGTCTGTTGCCTGCTTTTATCTCTGCGTCCTGGTGAGTGAAATGTGCCGTCATGCACAGCGAGAAGAGGATTTGATAAGAAAACCGCACCGAGCCGTCAGCAACACAACAGCAGCAGCAGCAGGAGGCGAGAGGATGCACCGGAGGAGGCAGAAAGTTTTTTAGAAGTTAGTTTTTGGATGAAGTGCAAACAGCTTTATTTTTTTCTTTCTGATTTTGACAATGTTGCTCAGACTTCTTTCAAGTGCAAACAAGTTTCCTGCTCTGGTTTGGAAATACTGGCGTTAAGAAGAGTTGTTTGACTGAAATACGTTTTTTTTTTTTTTGGACACAACCATGAATAACCAGTCGATGACGGGGAGGACCATGGTCCCGACCATTCCGTCCATTATGTTCATTTTCGGGGTGGTTGGGAATGTCATCGCCATCGTGGTTCTTTGTAAATCTCGCAAAGAACAGAAGGAGACGACGTTTTACACGCTGGTGTGCGGACTGGCGGTCACGGACCTCCTGGGCACGCTGCTGGCCAGTCCGGTCACCATCGCCATTTATGTGAAGGGCTCGTGGCCCGGAGAGGACCCGCTGTGCCAGTACTTTGGATTCACCATGCTTTTCTTCTCTCTGGCTGGACTCAGCATCATCTGTGCCATGTCAGTGGAGAGGTACATCGCTATTAACCATGCTTACTTCTACAATGACTTTGTGGATCAAAAACTGGCGGGCTTGACTCTCGTAGCGATCTACATCTCCAATGCGCTTTTCTGCGCACTGCCGATTATGGGCTTTGGACAGGTGAAGAAACAATACCCGCAAACCTGGTGTTTTCTGGAGTGGAGGAGCAACAAGACCAGCGATGCCGCCTACACGTACATGTATGCGGGGTTCAGCTCTCTGCTTATTCTGGTCACTGTTATTTGTAACGTGCTGGTGTGTGTGGCTTTGATCCGGATGCACCGGCGCTTCGTGCGCAGGATGTCACTGGGAACCGATCTGGGGCGCAACGAGGACCCGCGTAGGAGAGGACGCAGCTTTGGACGTCTGGCTGGTGCCGAGATTCAGATGGTCATTCTGCTCATAGGCACATCGGCAGTGATCCTTATCTGCTCCATCCCACTTGTTGTAAGTTCCTTCTTCTGCGCTGCCTCTAACCATTACGCACGTCTTACGCACGGTTCCATGCGTAACTGTTTAGTCAAGCAAAGCGATCCAAATCCCAGTGGATGATTTGAAAACAAAGTAGAAACATGACTGTTTTTGTACTAAATAACTTGTGCTTGTACTATTTGAGCCATGACGCTCATACTTTCCTCTGTCCATTAGGCTTGTTTTTGCACAGCTGTTATTATAGTTATTTTAGTGCAGTTTGGTCCAAATCCAAGTGTGTGATTAGAGATCAAAGATCAAACATATTTCCATTAGGACTAAAATTCTTTTTCCCTCCCTTGGAGATATATATATATATATATTCGGCCTCTCAAACACACACGCACATGCAAATCTAAAACTACATCTATCCACTCTCTTCTCCATTGCAGGCTCAGGTGTTTCTAAACCAGCTTTACAAGACTCCAGTGGAGCTGCAGCTGGAAAAAAACCCTGATCTACGAGCGATACGCTTTGCCTCCTTCAATCCTATTCTTGATCCCTGGATCTACATCCTGCTCCGCAAGGCTGTTCTCCTCAAGCTCATCGAGAAGATCAAGTGCCTCTTTTGTAAAATGGGAGCAAGGAGGCAACAGAGACAGGGCAACTTCCCCTGCATAGACGCTCATCAGCTCTCCTCGGTCATCTCTAACCGAGACTCCCAATCTTTGGTGTCTCATGACCTGCGGGATGTCACCAGCACCTCGCAGACCTTCCTCTATCTGCCAGAGGGAAGTGAATTGTACACTGGAAGCTGTCACAAGTCAGACAGACTCACTAGTTCACAACCTTCTTCAGTCAGAAACTCGCAAGTTTCTTTTTCCTCTGAGAAGGGCAGCATTGAGGCTGAGACCAGAGAAAGGACAAACGTAAGCACAGGTTTTTCAGCCGTGCCACGTCCAAAAGATCCGGCACTTCAGGTGACGTTGAACACAGAGACGGTGGAGGAGAAACGTATCTGACTCTGAGTGAGGAGAATGTGCTCATGTTGCTCTGAGGTTTCTACTGACTTACTTCTTCATCAGAGAACTCTTAAACCCCTGAAAAAAAAAAAAGCAGGGGTAGGCACATATAAATAATAACTCCTGAAGAAGTGCTGTGAACTTTGTTCCCTGTCTCAGCACCCAGCTACCTCAGCGATGACCATTTCTGACTGTTCATGCAGATGCTGTCATTTTGCCCAGGACAGATGTTACACAGAGCTCACAAATGGAAAAACACATTCCTAAATTCACCTACTTTGCTCAAACCTTCACTGTAAAGCAAACGTAGCCAGAGTTTTAGAATAATTGAGTCACACACTTGTGGTCAATTTGGTGAAAGAACACAGTACAGAATGTGATTGTAATGCGTAATCACTCGCATGTGTGCTCCCGTTGGAAGGATCGATTCCTTCAGACAAACTCTATTGTCCACTGCTTTTTGAAGGCTCCATGACTAATGTACAGCACAGTTTTATAATGTGGTGAACACTGATGTTTTTGTTCCCCGAGCCTGGAATACACGCAATTATGTCATCTCAAATTATAAAAGAAAATCATTTTCCACCTTTCACTGAAGGTACAAAGATCTTTGTGCCATCGCCATTAGCACCAAACTGCCTAATTCTGACTGGAAATTATGAACATTGTTCCCCCGGCTACAGAAGACGTGGTGTAAATCAGCAGACAAATGTTGATTAATGCGCAGTATTAAGCTGTCAGCTCGAGAAAAATGGTGTTTCCAAATGATCGATGTTGTGTAAAATGCCTTTTGTAATAAAATTATTCTTCTCTAGGAGAAGGTTCTAATCAGTAAATCCTACACATGTAGGGCTTACCAGTGTAAAATAAGTGTTTGTGCACAGTTTATTCATTGTGTGAGTGATGTCGTTTGACCAGTGTTCATGCTCGTGAATCGCTTCCAGGATTACAGTCCAGAAAATCAGAAAAACTTTTGAACTAGATTGTATGTTTCATGGACCTGTCCAGGGTGTCAGCTGGGATAGACTCCAGCACCCCGCGACCCTCGTGAGGATTAAGCGGAGTATAGATAATAGATGGATGTTTCATTTAGGTCTGCAGCTAGCAGTTATTTCCATATATCATTATTCTTATTCATTTTTACATTGAGAAAAAAACCCACACAGCAGTTTCCAGGAAACCAAGGATGATGTTTTTAAAATTGTTTTTGTCCTGAATTCAAAGATACTCAGTTAGTTGGACAATGCACGTATTAAGGAAGCTGGTACCAGATTTTTTATGTATTTATTTTTCCCATTTTGGTTTGGTAACCGACACAACACCTGCCAGTGTTAATTAGGCACAAATCCATTCTGCATTATTTCATCAAACAAGGACGTGATATTCTTCAGATTACCCTCCGATCCTGTGATCCTGCTCTCCTCTGATGGCAGAGTTCCTCTTTTTAATGTCACAGAATGTCAGCTGACACCTTCTGCTGCTGGTTTACCAACACAAAATACATCCGACTGAACTTTTGAACTGCTCTTTGTGTGAACTTTTTTCTCTCAAACGAGCTTTTTGTCTTTGAAGCACACGGTCTGTCTCCTCCAGCCTGTTATTAAATCGTCTCGTTGCTTAAATGTCCTGGATTAAACTCTCGCTTTTCTCTTGTCGCTGGTAATTTTAGGTTGTTTGTGCGCATAAAAGCTGAGCGTTGTCGCCCCTCTGGATGTGCAGTGTGACATTTGATTGAAGTTGAGAGAATAGTTAATTTATTTTTAATTGTGCACTTTATTTTGTTCTTGTTTTAAGGTAAAAAGACATCACATATAGTTGCTGTTTATTTGTTGTTGTGTCGCTTTTCATTTCTGTAAACGTGAATACAAAAAACTGAACAATAACTTCTGTGTGATCAGGAATACAAACTTGCCTTCCACGTGTTGTTATATGTTGGTGGAACTTCATAACACGAGCATCAAGTTTCTCACGCGCACTCTTTTTCCGGCTTGGATTCGGTGGGATCATCTCATGACCCCCATTAGCTCAGACAAGCGACCCCGAGGAGAGCATGCTACCGCTTTCCCAATATTTACAGACAAATAAACCAAAATGTAACACGCTGTGGTTTGCTTAAAATTCAATTGGATCTTAGTAACGTGTCACAGAGATAATGCCAGACACGCTGAGAAAACCGGAGAAAACAGAGAGAGTCTTAGTTCTGATGGAAAAGAGAAAAAAAAAAAAGATCTCAGGAAGTAGACCTGGCCGACAGAGCTTCTCTCCTGAAACAATAAACACAATCTAAGGCTCCAGTTCACTGCAATTAAGCTTAAACAAGCAATGCAGTGTCTTGGGCGAAGACAGAGCGTCAGAGTATCCTCCAGACTCTGGGAATAACACGCACTAATTGAATTCGACTGTGAAAAATGGGATCTTACAGTAGCGGGATGGTGTGATGCACGGAACAATTCATGAAGCTTCCCGGCAATTCAATCGCCGGAGTCTGCGGGTAGCTAATTAAATGTTTAAATGGAGAAGCAGTGAGGCTGATGTTCATGTGCGAACAGGTGTACAAGTGAGCTGCACAGGATCTCCTCTCTGACCTCCGATAAGTCAGTCTACTCTAAATTTCAGCTCCAAATGAGGATTATGATTTGGGTTTTTTTGGGTGGGTCGGATCAGCTTGTTCCAGAGCTGTGAAGCTGCTTTCCATCAGTGGGGGTCTTCTAGTGACTCTCTGCACTGCGTCACATCTGTGCTCATTGACAAACAGCAGAAAGCACCTGCTGCTCTGTTGTCGCCGACGGTTGAAAAGGACACAGAACGTTTCCAGTCAGGAAATCTGCCAGAACCAAAGGTGCAGGAGCTTATAAATGTCCTGAAGCCTGTGTTACATCCCTCGAGCGGTGGAGAAAATAGGAATGAACTGTACTCCAAGGAGAACATACGATCCTGTTTGCAGCGGTTTCTCTCACTTTAGTATGAAGAACATCCTTTTTTTTTCCCCGTGTGACATCATCCCGTCAGAACACTGAGGCCTTGTTGTTGCTGATGGATTTGAGTGCTCATGGGGGCAGCTTCACACAAATTTACAAAAATATATTACTTGTGGTTTCGTTTTGCCAGGTGTGCCGTTGTTACTTCAGACAGTTTTAATTTGAACTATTTTTTCAGCAGCAAGTGGCGCCAAAGAAAACGGCTCGCGGTGAGGTCTGCTGATTATCCACTGCAACAATAACACTCAATCTGGAAGATGCTTACGAGGTTTTCAGATGTAATTTTTTAATGCTGCGAATGCTCCAAAGCAAATCCCATTTTCTCTTATTGCATTAAAGGGACATGCTTCACACACAGGGATCCGTTTACTCGGGAAATGCACACACTCAGAGAAAACAGGTGTGTGTTTCTGAAGTCTGTTATCATGAACAGACTATCTTCGGCATGTGCTTGAGGAATAAGATGCTTTATAGAACTTCTATGTTGAAAAATGTCTGTTGCTGTTGGATCAGCATGAATCTAGTGCAGGGGTGTCGAACTCCGGTCCTCGAGGGCCGCAATCCTGCAAGTTTTAGATGTTTCCCTTCTTCCAACACACCTGATTCAAATGATCAGGATCGTTATCAGGCTTCTGCAGAGCTTGATGATGAGCTGATCATGTGTTGGAAGAAGGGAAACATCTAAAACTTGCAGGATTGTGGCCCTCGTTGCGTACGATAACTTCAACAGACATCCAACCGTTAGGCTTAGATTTTTGTCATGTGCACCACTAACCGCAATAGAGAGAGAAACATGATGCTATTGCACAAACCTATGTGCCAATTTACAGATTAAATCCCATTGATTTACATTTTTTGTGCCACTTTAGATTGAACTGGTGCCACATTCTGTCATGTCACACCTCTGACAGGCGTCTTCTCAATCACAACCAAAGCCCAAACTATGGAAAATGTACAATTTCTCTGACACGAAATTGAAATAACGAAAGCAGGCGGTCACAACACGAAGCTCTGTGACTGTTACATAATCTGATTAGAGTCCTGCTTCTATGTTAAGTAACACTGAGGGTGTTGCAGAAAGAAAAACACACCACTCCCTCCTCCCAGCTATTGAGTAGTGCACTGCAAGATCCTCATATTCAGAGTTTGACCCTTATTAGCAATAAAAAAAAACAGGATATGTCAGTCTCTG